ATGGTGTATCAGTTTATGTGTGTGGTTTATAGCTCCTCATGAAAATAGTTACTGGATTACACCAATAACACTGAATATTGTTATTGGTTGTTTGACATTATAGTAATATTTATTATACAAAATACACAATATTTAATCAACTAACAGTACATTTGTACTTCCGGTTAAGCTATATGTTACAATATACATAGCTCTACTTGGTATTCCATAAGTTCAACCGGAATTAAATGATGTAGATCTATTACTAGAGATTTAAAGAAAATTAACAAATCTATACTAATCATATTTTTTGTTTTTTATCTTTACCTTTATCCTTTCTCATTATTGATGAATTCAAATAAAACCATCATTGCATGTAGACTACACAGCTTTTCTCACATTCAAAATGCATGGATACCAACAAAAGCTTACTTATATATAAAATACCCAGCAATGTACACATGCATTGGCAATTAAACTCCTAGGCTACTTTTACTTCTTTAACTTACTAGAAAATAAACACATTTTAGCTTATAGTTATTAAGAGAGGTAAGAATTAAGAGAGAGGTAGGTAGGGGAAGGAGGGAGAGAAGCTAGGATAAGGAACATAAATTCAATCAGGCCATTTGCGTTTCCAGGAATGAAAATTAATAACTCAAAATTAGCTCAAACTTTTACATTTTGTTGCTAATGTGATTGGAAACCAAACAAAACTCTATTTACATGATTTTAATGAGGCAGAGTATGATGGTAAAGTGACGACAATAGATTCATATCATCCATTAGCACTGGCAATCATTAAAGCATTTAAGAGTAACTTTCTTTTAAAAAGAAACCAATGTGTGTGCATTACAGAACTGAACTAAATTGTAATTATTAACCACATTTATACACACAACTAATAATAACTAATAACAGTAATAATAAGATAAATGATAAAACAATAATGTAATGAGAATACAACAATGCTATTATAGTGTAGTGTGACATGTGTGTGTGTGTGCAGAATACTGTAATGTATGCATCTAATAAAACTATAACGTTAACTTCAACATCACTTCTTATCTGTCAACTCCTCTATTCCTGAATCTAAAGTTAAAGTAGAAGGAAAAGTTCTTGAACTACTATTATCTGATACTGTATGACGTCCACTGGATACTGTTCTGTGAGACTCAAATGAATAAACACTAGCAGCATCATCTTCTTTTAAATTGCCTTTTTTTACAGCTTTCGATTTCAATAATAACTGAACTATTTCATCATGTCTGGCAAGCGTTAAAGCAGTGATAAATGTACCATCATTCCTTTGAACATTAGGATCAACTTGTTCCTTTAACAACAGTTCAACTATTTTAGTATGGCCATTTTTACAAGCCAACATTAAAGCATTCATTCCATCATTCCTTTGAACATTAGGATTAACCTTTTTCTTCAGCAAAAGTTTAACTATTTGAATGTGACCATTTTGACAAGCCAACATAAAAGCATTAGCTCCATCTTTCATTTGAACATTAGGATCAACCTGTTCCTTCAGCAAAAATTTAACTATTTGAGTGTGACCACTTTTACAAGCCAACATAAAAGCATTTGCTCCATCTTCTCGTTGACAATTATAATCAACTCTTTTACTAATCAATAGCTCAACAATCTCATAGTTACCATGGTAACTAGCAATCATTACAGCATTTGATCTATCTGATGTCTTCAGGTGAGGATTAGCATTAGCTTGTAGTAACATGTGAATGATTGAAATGTGATTATGTTCATTTGCTATCATTAGTGCAGTCCATCCTTTATTGTCCTCAATGTCAACATTAGCTCCAGCAGACAGTAAACTGTGTACTGTGTCCTCGTGTCCTCTTTTACAAGCTAACATCAGTGCTGTCTCTCCTTCTTTATTAGTATCATCAATACAACCTAGTTGAAGGAGAAGCTCTACTGCTTCATTATTGCCAGCTGTGACTGCATTAACAAGAGCTAGTTCAAAGGTGAAGTTCATATTCTCATCTTCTTGAAAGACAGGATGATCATTAATGTATAAACTAAATATGCCAATGAGATGCATAAACTGCAACTTCTTTCTTGTATAATCTATTAGACTGTCAGTTGTGTAACCATGTACAAAATATTCAAGGTTGACATATTCAGAAGTTATACATATTGTAATATATTTCATTATTGACTGCTGATGTCCAACTGGGAGTAAGTTATGGATCAGTAGAGAGAGTCCATTCATTTTGCTACTTTCCCATTGATTATGAAGCTTTATTGAAATCATTCGCATATTTGATGTATCTGGTATGTGTCCTTGATATATTATTGGTAATGACTCATGAAGGTCTTCTACTTGAGCTGAAAGTTGAAGTTCGTCTGCTCTGATCTTGTAAGTTTTTAATTCGCTAACAATACTTAACTCCTTGACACCAAATTTGAAATCTTGTAGGAAAATATCACTCATTTCCACTATCAGACTGCAGTCAATAAAATCATAAAATAGGTCGATAGTTCTAAAAATTTCATCTAACGATATACTTGTTAGTTTGTCATTCCAATGCATGTGAGTCTCCAACCATGTAGTGAATGTTTGTAACATGTCAGAATCATTCTTAATTTTTTCCTCAAGACCTAATTGTACATGCATTACTAAACTGGAGAATTCTATGTTAAGGTCAATTATTGCATGCAATATCTCCTTTTCGTAAACTGCTGTTAATGTTTCAAGCATTAATTCTGCCTGTGATGATTGTCTGGTAGTGGCATCAGCATAACTACATTTTTGCAAGTTTTCTCTAATATACTGTGCAAAAATGCTGTTTTCTTTTGTCTTGCTCAATGCATTAATCACATCAGCCCATGTTGCTTTAGGAGCCTTCTTCAACCATTTTGAGTACAATGCTAACTTTCTGTCATCAATTGTTACACTTTGAGCTTCAATCTTTGAAATATCTGAATAGTAATTCCTGGTAAACCAAGACCAAATGGTTTCCAGTCCACAAGTGGTTCAAGCCATTGAGTTAATAATGAAATATCAGGTCGATCATCAATCATAGGACCAGGATTGAGTTCAGAAATATCTGGTACATTATTAGTTTCCTTAATGTTATAATTGGCACCAGCAGAAACCAAAGTCTCCATAATATTCTTGTGTTCCTTTTCACATGCCAGCACTAGTGTCGTCTCGCCTTCTTCATGTGATGTCTTCAGGTGAGGATTAGCATTAGCTTGTAATAACATGTGGATGATTGCATTGTGATTATGTTTACTTGCTATCATTAGTGCAGTCGATCCATTAATGTCCTGAATGTCAACATTAGCTCCAGCAGACAGTAAACTGTGTACAATGTCCTCATGTCCTCTTTCACAAGCTAACATTAGTGCTGTCTTGCCTTCTTCATTAGTATGATCAATATTAACAGTTTCTAGTTGAAGAACAAACTCTACTGCTTCGTTATTACCAGCTGTGACTGCCTCAAGGAGAGCTAGTTCANAGGTGAAGTTCATATTCTCATCTTCTTGAAAAACAGGATGGTCATTAATGTATAAACTAAATATAC